TATTTAATCCACTGCAACGCACAGGTAGACACTGACAGGGCTGGCTGGGGCATGAGGGTGCTTCAGTGCACAGCTGCCTGCCAGCCAGCCCCACATTGTAGCACCCTCATGCCCAAGCAGCACCTCCACAGCATGCTAAACTGGGTCAGAGCAGCCCCAGGCTGGCAGTTTGACTCTCAGTGCTCCCTGCTAGTCAGGCTACTCCACTCCAGCTCAGTGTGCTGTGGTCCTGGGTGCACATGCAAAAACAGCACCTGGGAACAAACTCTGGAGTGAAGTGTGCCGGAATTTATTTGGCTGTATTAACTACGTGTATAAATGTGCCATAAGGTGCAAGTACACGCTGCTTCTGCCCATTCCAACATTACTTTTACTTTGAAAATTGTTGTTTGTTTCTATTTGTAAGAAGTATTTAAGCCCTTGTATTTTGTATAGCTATCTTTTCATCAACTGTAAGGTATTAAATACATTTAGATGATATGCCATCTTACTTCTAATTAAGTTAGGAAATCACAAATGACATTATTTTGGAGTTCCATATGGTAAAATTAATATACCACTTGCCATGAATAGCTGAGAATAAAAACAGAAAAACAATACTATGCAGACACCTTGTAGTAGGAAAAGAACTTACTGTCCAAGTATGGAATAAAACAACAACATGTAGCTGAAGTAAATACTTTGGATCCTGTGAAACCCTGCACCATTGCTTTATAGTTCTCATGCTCATCAGTAAAATACTCTGATAGATCACAAAATAGATGTGTGATATTTGAACATTCTTCAGCAATCTGAAATTCTCCACTTCTGACAAAACAAAACAAAAAATGAAGAAGGAATAAATAATACAAAAGTGGTGCAGAGGAAAGGTCAATTATAAGGTTTGCATATAATTGCTTATCTGTCTCACAGAGCAACGCCATTCTTCCTGCAGGTTAAAAGCAAGGTAAAGTAGGCCCTTTGGCTCCAGGATCTTTTGATGCTAGGCCCTCTTCTCAAGACATTGTGTCCCCACTTCTCTATTTCAGCTGATGTGGTCAAGCTTCTTTATGATCATATAGATCCTCTTTGAGTAAATAAAGGTTTGCTTTTTCTCCCCATGCATAAATTTGTTCCAGGAATTAAAGTGTACTTGTACAAGTATGTTCAAACAGCAAATCATATCCTAAAACCCAATTCTTCTTCACTATGGATCTTATGAATACAAATTTCATAAGATCTATTTGGACAAGAAAACAGGCAGAATATTCTGACTATAAAATAACAAAAAGTTCTGCATACTATAGGAAAGGAAACAAACCTGAAACTTGAGTACTTCACTCGATAGTATGTTGGCACTGTTGTATTATTTCCAGCTTTCCATGATAAAATGTGCTGGAAATTCCGAGATGTCATCTTCACGTTGAACTGCGGGTTTATCATAGATGCTTCTAACAGAAAAAGGAAGTTACTAAAGTTAAAAAGCCATGGAGAAGGAAAGCAAATGCAAACTTCCAGCCATAAGTCAAGGAAGTTGAAGAAAGAACAATTTGAATTCACACGGTTCATTGCACTGGAGGCACAAACCCTTGTGGCTGTCCTGTTAGAGATAACCCATATTTTTCTTTCTTTAACATGCACAGTGAACCAGGACAATAGGAAAGGATACCTGACACAAGCATACAGCTCTTTTGAACTATTTCAGCCTAGAAATAGATGCTGCTGAATGCAGCAATTCAGCTATACCACGATGTGTCATGGCACAGTTGATTCACTTCATTCAGTGAAACACACATTGCACTTTTGTCCTGCCCTTCATGGTCCAGGACAGGGACAACATGATCTCCCCACTTTCCCAGACCCACACAATGGGTCTGGGCCAGTGGGGAAAAGTGTTTCCCTGCTCATCCAGCCCCATGTGGCTGGTTAGTCAGGTGAATATCTGGTGTCCCTTGCTGCCCCAGACCCACGGGGCTGGCTGAGCAAGGAAAGCACCACAAGGTAAAAGATATCTGCTGCAATGAAGTGGCAGTCTATTGCTACTTTTTTGCATCACAGATTTTCCTGTCATGTGGTGCAACAATAAGTAAGGATGTCTATTTGCTCCACATTTGTACCACCTTAAAAAATGTTAAGGTGGCACGAATGAGAATTCAGATGATATCTGTTCTTACCTTCAGGGATTTTGTTTGAAATAAAGTAAACATTCTTACCAGGCCAGCTGTATGAAGTAGTAGACAGAATGCCAATGTACACTGGGAATGAAGATACATATTAATTAGAGAAATGGTGTAACTTTCTATGAGAAATAAAGAGTTCTTATTAATTTATTGTAGGTGATATTACTTCTGTTCTGTACCACGTATAAACTGGTCATCTTGCCTTCCAGATTGCACCAGTTGTCTTCTGGATGAAAAAAAACTGGAAATGTTATCTTTCTGTATCAAATGTTTTCCATTATCATCAGTGAGAAAGGGTTCAGCTACCTCTCATGTTTTTATAAGGTGGATCCCACTCGTATCAAAACACTATAGGAGGCTAGATGTACACCTTGGAGGCTAGATGTACACCTTGCTGGGGTTGTTTGACCCCAGTACACTTTCCTGCCATGGCAGGGGGTCGGACTAGAGTATCTCCTCAGGTCCCTTCCGACCCTAGAAACTATAACAAAGCCAACACTGAATGCGGCTGAGATGGAAGTGTTTGCCCCTACAAGAGATATTCAAATGCTTTTCTCTTACTTCTCCCATTCTCCTTTGCCTTCATTTCCTCTCTTTCAAATTCCCCCATGTGGGATGATACCAACCAAATGCCATTACTTGGGGGAATGTCTTATCACAGAAACACAGAAATTTCGGGCTGGAAACGACCTCAGGAGGTCATCTAGTCCAACCCTGTGCTCAAAGACAGGACCAGCCTTATGTGGATCACACCAGCCAAAGTGAGAGCTCTTGCATTCTGATCCAAGTAGGCTCAGGGAGCCAGTCACACTAATTCTGATCTCCCCCCAATAGTGTTCCACATCTGGGTTCCTGCTGCTGAAAAAGAGCATAAATCCTTCTACGATGGATCTGAATCATATCGGGAGAAAAAAACCCAACACCTCCTAATCAGTTCAGAAAAGATTTGGAAAAAGATTCAGAAGGCAGTCTTTTAGGGGAACAGAAACTGAGAAGAGGGAAGGGGACCCGGGGGGGGGGGGGAGAGACTGACATCTGTAGCTGGCCAGTGACTGATCTTTCCCTGAGTCCCCTTCCATTTACAGTGCTCTGCGGCAGGGACGTAGAAAGAGCATACAAGCCTCTGTCTGCAGCCTTTCTGTCTCTTTTGTTAGCTGTTTCTGCCTGAGCACCAGCATCTGAAACGCACTGGACTGGCTTGACTTCCTAGTCAGTCTCCTGCTAGTTTCTGTTCTGGGAAAGGACTGGATACAGCTTACTAACTAGAATCCCTCTACTTATTCCTATCCAATCCATTTCTTTCAACTTATTCTTTTCCCCAAAACCTCTTATTTGTTCTTGGTTTTGTTTCTCACACACTTTTTAAAAAGAAAGCTGTGTTTTCCCTGGCAATGTAATCCATCGCTGTGCAGGAAAGCACATACATTACACACACTCACACACACACACAAAGAGAAGAAGAGATATTACTATTATTAATTACACACACATACACAACACAGAAGTAGTCAGACACTTGAGGGAGGAGCTGTGCAAGGCAGGGCCGCAGGTAGCTTTTCACTTCACCTCTGACATCTGGAGCAGCCAGGGTGGAGATTGCGCCTACTTCTCTCTCACAGGGCACTGGTGCAATCAGTCAGGCTGTTGGTAGGCTCTCCTTCAAGCCAAAGTGATTGATGAGTCCCACACGGCAAGGGAGATCATGGTGGCCATGAACCGTATGGTGCAGGGGTGGCTTGTTGGGCAGGGCAAGCTCACTTACGGGTTCCTGGTCACTGACAACGGGGCCAATATGGTCAAAGCAGTCTATAATGCCAACTTTGTTGGCATCCAATGTGTGGCACACAAGCTGAACCTTATAGTGAGGTATGCCTTGAAGGGGGACAGGGCTGCTGGTGATGGCGCCGTCACTACCACCTAGCTGATTTCAAAAGGCAGGAAGGTGGAGGGCTACTTCCATTGCACCATCAAAGGGGGGAAAAATGCTACGGGAGAAACAGGCAGAGCTGAGCATCCTGCAGCACAAAATCATGCAGGATGTGGACTTACAATCATAAAATCAATGAGTCGGAAGTGTAGGAATAAATTTAGTCGGCTTGTGGCCTCCCTGACTAGAAAAACAGACAGAGACCAGAAGTGCTGATACTGCTTATTTCAGTTATATGTTTTGAGATAAAAAAAAAAATCCTGCGTGTCTTATTTCCCTGTGAACAGATGTCCAATTAAGTAAACTTGTTTTATTTTTTCCAAGGTTGTATTTTTTTTCCTCTTTATCTGTCTTAAGTATAAAAATGCTTGAAAAACTTACAGAGGGGGAGGATTCCTTTGAAACAGACAAGTGGGCGATTCCCCTTGCTGTACGAAATCCTCCCTGTGATCACTGTATAGCCCTAAATAAAGAAAAGCTGGCTGTCAGTTCTGATTCAACCACAGTGCCAAGTTTGATTTCTTCCACAGAAGGGACCTAGACAGATCATCGAGTCTGACCCCCTGCCATGGGCAGGAAGGAGCACTGCGGGTGGGAGGGGTCATAAGACCCCAGCCAGGTGCCTATCCAGTCTCCTCTTGAAGATTTCCAGGGAAGGTGAGAGCACCACCTCTCTGGGAAGCCTATTCCAGGCTCTGGCCACCCTTACAGTGAAGTTCTTCCTAATATCTAACCTAAACCTATCCTCCCTCAGCTTGTGGCCATTGTTCCTGGTGACTCCAAGGGGGCCCCTGGTGAACAGACTTTCCCCGAGTCCCTGCTGCTGGCCCCTGATAAGGTTGTAGGCGGCCACAAGATCCCCCCTCAGTCTCCTCTTGCGGAGACTGAAGAGATTCAGGTCCCTCAGCCTCTTCTCATAGGGCTGGCCACGAAGGACCCCAATCATACGAGTGGCCTCCTCTGGACCCTCTCCAGGTTCTCCACGTCCCTCTTGAAGTGCGGCGCCCAGAACTGGACACAGTACTCCAGCTGCAGCCTGACCAGCACCGCATAGAGGGGGAGCAAGACCTCTCTGGACCTGTTAATGACACCCCTGTTGATGCATGAGAGGGTGCAGTTGGCTCTGCCTATTGCTTTCTCGAATTGGTGACTCATATTCATCCTGGAGTCAATCATGACTCCAAGATCCCTCTCTACCTCTGTGCTGCTGAGAGGGTCAGCCCCTAACCTATAACCATAATGCTGGTTCCCTCTCCCCAGGTGCAGCACTCTGCACTTGTCCTTGTTGAACCGCATCCTGTTCAGGTCTGCCCACTTCTCTAACCTATCCAGGTCTGCCTGGATGCGGTCCCTGCCTGCCAGTGTATTCACTTTACCCCACAGCTTGGTGTCATCAGTGAACTTGAACAGGGTGCTCTCTACACCCTTGTCCAGGTCACTAATCAAGATGTTGAACAGCACTGGCCCAAGGACTGAGCCCTGGGGGACTCCGCTACCCACACCCTCCCAGGTTGACATCGACCCGTCCACCACCACCTTGGTGGAACTACTGATGCTGGAAAGGCTGGTGGAGCAACACAAGGCCATCCATGAGATGGCCTTGCTCAGGGAGACTGGAATCAGTGGCATGGAATACGGCCTCCTTAACAAAGAAGCAAGGAATACCATTTCCCAGATCTTGGCATTCCTCAAGCCCTTCCTCAAGACCACCAAGACCCTCAGCGCTGGTGATGCCCTCCTTTAGCCAGGTGATCCCGATAGTAAGGGAACTTGAGAACCAAACAGAGAAGTTCCAGGGGATCAATGTTCCTGGCTGGGGCAAGCTGCTGTCACCAGAAGTGCAGGCACTAGTGAGGTGGCTGAAGGAGGGCATCAGGAAACAGCAGGATCTGTTGCAGTCTAGTAGGGTCCACATGCTGGCGGACATGTGTGACCTGAGGGTGAAGGGGAGCATGTGCACTGGCAGCACCAAAACCCTCAATCACTGGGCAGAGGTTCTGGTGAACAGAGTCAGGGAGGCAGAAAGGCAGAGGTGAGGGGACGTGGAAGGGGGGGGATCCACTTTCCTGTGCAAGCACTCCCAGCACGGGCACCAGCCAGTCTCCTCCACACCAGCCGCTGCCAATGTGGGCCAAGGACATGGCTTCAATGTTGGGGTCCAGACGCACCAGACCCCAGTCTTGGGCAGATAGTGCCTAGGCTTTGGTGGCTACCTATCTCGCTGAGGACATGAAGCCGCTGGACTGCGATCCCTTGGCCTATCAGGCAACCCACAGCCAGATGTGGCAGGATCTGGCCACAGTTGCCCAGGAACACTTGTCCTGCCCACTGACCAGTGTTCCAAGTGAAAGGGTGTTCAGCATTGCTGGGGATATTGTGACACCCCACCACACCTGCTTGGATCCTGGTTTGGTGGAGCAGCTGGTGTTCCTCAAGGTGAACCTCCTGCTGCTGGGGTTCCCCAAGCTCCACCTGCAGATGAAGCAAAAGTCACCCTCTTCGCTTCATCCACATCTATTTCTTTTTTTTCCCCAAACCATTTAAGACCCCCTCTCAGAGCTGGAGATGACACTCACTGCAACACCAGCCAGCAGGGGAAGAACATGTCC